GGGGGGGGGGGCAGGGGGGTGGTGGTGTCTGCCTCAGATCCCCACAGGAAATATTGTCCTGTGTTTACTCTGCCGGTGAGCCTGCCTTCCTCCTCCCTTGCCTCAGGCTTCCTTCTCTGCTCTGGGTTACCTCTGAAGCAGAGGGAAGGAATACAGCTGACCAGACAGTGTGAGAAAGATGAAGTCATGACTTTCAAATCCCCACCTTGATTATGTATTCATAAATGATATTAAAAATTAGGGGGAAAAATAGAATTTAAGGGCTGGACTGAGAAGTTAGTCTGTCTTCTTTGCAATAACTAAATTGATCTGAACCCCACACTTTAGCTAGGAAGAGCAATGAGATGTTTCTGTGTTATAGATACCAATAACCTGAGCAGCTATGAAATCTTACACTGTGGCTTTTTGTGAGGAGGGGTATGACAGGTGGTCTGACAATATTTTATATTGCTTTTTGTTTTGCTGCCATTTACCTGGAACTTGTTATTCCCTTTCCAAGTGCTTCTGACAAATCCATATGTTTCAGTACAGGTATTTAAGAAAATACTCTTTAAACTGCTGACCCGCTCTATAAAATTACATTTTCGCAGGAAAATCCTAAAAATTATTCTCAATATGATTTTTCTTTTTTTTCTCATTTTTTTCTTCCCACAAGTCTAGTTGTTCTGCATTCCTTGAGCACATCTATCCGTCTATTTTGCAAGTCCTTCTTGCAAAAAACACATTAATTGTTATCCATTCAGTCTTTCAATGTACTACTCTTGGAGACATCTACCTGGTCTGGTGCAGAGGATCTGAGGGGAATGGACAGTATAGTGTAAACCCACAGCTGAAAGAGCACTCTCCTCCTCCTTCTCTTGGTCTCTTGACACCAGACCGGGCCCCCTCTACCTCCCTTCCCTCAAGTTATCTTCAGAAATTCTTCTCCAAAGCACTGGAAAAAAATGCAGTCTATCCTCTAGAAGACTCTGGGATTTATGGTGGTCTCCTAGCCCTGCTTGTAGGCCTTTAAGCTTCAGCCCTGAACATCCATTTGAGGTGCTATTGGAAGTAATAACGCCTGGTAATTACTCTCAGCCTCTCCTCTTCTCCCCTGGCACAGCATTTGAACCACTTGTTCTTTGTGGGTTGAGATGATAACGTTG